TCAGGAAAGGATTAAGGTGGATTTAGCTAGCTGTGGAGACACTTGGTTTCTGAACTCTTTTCAGCAGTCTGTCCCTCATGCAACCAAGGACGATCTCTTTACATCAGCAATGTCTAGTGACGAAGCTGTTCCATATTGTCAGTAGCTTTTGTCAGAAGCTACAAGGAAATATGGAAGACTCAGAGCAGGAGCATTTGATGGACATTACTCAAGGTGGAAGTACTGCAGCTGAAGACTCAGTTTCCCTGGTAAATTAACAGTGAAAAAATTTCCTAGCATCAGTCTCTCAGTGTCTCCCTCCACTAACCTTGGCAATTGATAAAACATTTAATTTCAGGAGCACTTGATGATCCATGAGATTGAAAAGAAAAAAGTTAATATAAAGTTATTTGTCCAGGACCATGAAACAGTAATTTAATTGGATCAGTGTGTGCTAGATTACATTAGACCTGATTCTAGCTTAAAAGAGGCTCGTTTGTACTGCACATCCAGAAAAGCGTACGTGAATTTTATGTGTCTGAGAGCTGGCTCTGTGCTATGAAACTGGACTGATAACAATTTGCTCTATTTTTAGCTAAAAGTTTCAGAAGTGTCAGTTATTATGGACTGGTGATTCAAGTAGAACTCCATACTTGAAATTAATACAGGTGTTATGGATGTAAACTGTTCTCTTTGCTTTGGTAAACTCAAGACAAACAGAGGGGTATGTCATGGTTTGAGCTGTGAAGGCAACTGAGCAGCACGCAGCCGCTCACTCTCCCCCCCCCCCCAACGCTGACAAGGAGAAAATAAACCAGGCTGGGGATTTGAGATAGGACAGGGAGGAGCAAAAGGCAGACTTGTTAGGGGTAGAAAAAAAGGGAAAAATTATTACAGGCACCAACAACAACAGCAACACTTAACAGACCATTATGACATCTTGAAAACACCTCCCCTCACCCTTCCCTTCTTCCAGGGCTCAGCTCTGCTCCCGATATCTCTACCTTCTCCCCCAGCAGCGCAGGGGCAGGGAATGGGGGGTGCAGTCAGCGCTGCCACTTCTTCCATCTTTGGTGGGGGAGCTTCTGGAACTTCTTTCCCCTGCTCCAGCATGGTCCCCCTCTCACAGGAGACAGTCCTCCACAACTTTTCTCCAACTGGATTCCCTCCCACAGGCTGCAGCCCTTCCCAAGCTGCTCCAGCGTGGGACACCCCCACATGCTGCAATCCTCCCAGCGCTGAACTACAACAGCAGGGGCTGCTTCTTCCCACAGGGTCCCTGCTGCCTTTGGGCGCAGCCACCTTAGTTGTTCATATGAGGCCCCTCACAGGCCATAAATCAGTGTCTGCTCCACCGTAGATCTTCATGGGTGGCGGGGGGGGGCTGCCCTGCCATCTCACCACAGGATACAGGGGGGTCTCTGCTCCGGCACACCTCCCCCCTCCTTTCTTCCTCCGTTCCTCCACTGACCTTGGTGTTCACGCAGCTGCAGCAACTCCTCCTCACCAGTCCCCCTGCTCATCACCACGTCCCTTCTTAAATACGTTATGGCAGAGGCGCAGCTGATTGGCTCAGCCTTGGTGCAGAGGTGGGGCTGATTTGGAGCTGGGGGAACTTCGAGAAGCTTCTCCCAGGGGGACGCCCCTATAGCCCCCTCCCCTGATACCAAAAACCCCGCAATTCACTCAGGACAGGGTATTTCTATATAGTAGATTAGCGCGGGGAATTGGAAGTGTAAGTATCAGTGGCCTGGTGAAACTGTTCTTCCACAAAATTCGGATCTTCAGGACTCTCAGATGCCCTGAGATGTCAGTAAGTGGTCACAAAGAGAAATTTGCATCCACATTAAGTTCTAATTTACTGGGCTTTGTAAGAAGCTGTATCAGGCTATTCCATGATTATCCTGGTAGGCAACTTGGTGAGAAGCATCGGGCACTAGAGCAGAGTGACAAGGGCTCTCCCTGGCACAGACCATCCTTCTGCTCTGTGGATTTTCCTTCAACTACTAGACATCCTCAAGGTATTTTAATGTACATGAGACTCCACAATGTTTATATATTACTTTTCACTACACATTTATGAGCACTGAAAGTAATTACACCTTTCCTGCTTCTAGAGGTGAGGAAACTGGAAGCAAAATGTGGCTCATCCAAAGCCATCACTCAAGATCCAGGTCAGGATTAGAAGCCTTTAGGGAGAAAAAAAGCAGCTCTTCAGAGAAAACAAGAACTAAAAGGGAGGCTTCCTGCCTCCGGATGTATTGACTATTATGTTGCCTGAACTTCTTTAAAAAAAATTATTGGCATCAGTGATCCTTACACTAATGAATTCAGCCTTTACCTGTGTAAACAGAGTAGTTCACTGCTAAATTACAATTTTTCAATAAATGTCTCTCATATAATGAGAGATAGTACAAAGTGAGAAAAAATTATGTTGTTACTTTTGTAGCTTTGTATGTAAGGCTGCTCAGGACTCAGGAGGATAAAATGACAAGACTGAAAATTCTAAATCTCTTTTATGGGCAAATCACTTTTCTCTGTCTAATAATTTTCATTATCAATCTGTACTGTTCATGTTATTTCAAAAGGGACTGAAATGAGCACAACAATCCAAAACAAGTGTCTTTCATATGTATGATGACACAACAATCTTTTCATATGACTTACCTGGTTTTGTTTCTCATTACACTGTGCAAATGGGCATCCTTTGTAGGATCTAGCAATGTAATATGCTCGAGCACTTCAGAGTCCTTGTTTGTCAATGGTGAATTTTTTTTAGTACCTATTCATATAGCTTAATTAGCTAGCTGTCTCTGACAGTTTTCAACCTTCTTTAACCTTGTCGAATCTAGGTGACAAAAGTTATAGAAAGAATAAAGTTCTCTCTCCATTTCCTTTCTTAGAAGGTTAATAATTTAACCATATTGCTACCTTGCCTGCTACTCAGCTACAGAAATTGTAACTGAAGTCTCTCCCAAAGTGGAGAAGACTCGCCACTCATCTGTTTGGTCTTCCATACCCTCCTCACAAATTACAGGGAAGATACCAGATGTTTCTAGATGAGCATTTTGCTCTTGACCAGGTTGTCAGCCACATTAATCAATGCACCCATAGCTTTGCCTGTGCTGCAACAACAGCAGGTTAATTTGTAATGGTTGTTCCATGCCACACAAAGCAGAATGTATTTTTGATTACCCGATTATCACACAGCTTTATTTTCAGCTCTGCTTGCATTAAAAACACTAAAGGCCCCTTTGCTTTCTGCCGTCCAGTGGCAAAGAGAAGGGCACGGGCCGGCGCGCTGGGGATGCCGCAGCTGGCCCCACAGAGCAGCACCTTGGAAAAGAAGAGAGAACCCACGCATAGTTCAGTGCCTTTGGGGAGTTGTAGAGGATCGATGGGACCCACCTCCCTAAATTCAGCTCCAGCAGCAAGGTCCAAGAGAAAAATCCCAGCAAAGATGCCCCATGAAAGAACCCTGCAGTAGAGTCTTGGATTTTTCAAGGAGAAGGAGCCACTCTCTCAGATATATTTTTTAACTGACTGTTAACCATAAAACCTCAAGTATTTACCTCTTGCTTAAGTTTATTTCCTGACACAACAGCATAGAAAATAAGGAGGGAGGAAGCTTCCTGCATCTCTGCAACTGTGTCCATCATAACAGAATTTTCTCCCAGCGTGCCCAGGATGGGATTGACGCAATGTAAGAGAAATTTTGGAGCCTTATTATAACTGACAGTGGCTCAGGAAAGCACAGTTATTTTTTCAGCTACTGCTTGGCAACAACAACAAAGTAACATCTATCTTTTAAAATTTCCAGATTCAAATTATCTCCAATTTTTGTGATGAAAGGGAGAAAAAAGTGCACCCAAATTAATGTCCAAAGATGAACAACAGGAGAAAACTTTCTATCTCAGAAAGACTTGAAGAACTTCTATAACTACTTGTGTGGCTTGTTAATGTGTATTAAAAATTGTGTGACCAAAGTTTTGGTTTTTTTTTTTTTTGCTTGTTTGTTTTTATTTTTTGGTTTGTGTTTTTTTGTTTGTTTGTTTGCTTGTTTTTTAAAGTTAGAATGATGCGGAAGGTGTTGTCTTTTCTTTCCAGGAATAGCCAAAGTTATCAGAGTCGAAGTCACCACCCAAAAACGGGCTAAATCTGACCCTTATCCTGAAGCACCGCCCAAAGAGCACACCTTCTCTTGCCCTCACTAAGCAGCAGCAATTTGTTTGAATTACGTTCCCAGAAGCTCCTTTGACGTCCTATTTCATCGTGCACGCCTCAAGCCGACAGGACGGGACAGACGTTGGTGCGTCAAACAGCGCGGGACGGACGGAGGGACGGACGGAGGGACGGACGGAGGGACGGACGGAGGGACGGACGGAGGGACGGGGCGCGCCCCTGCCCGCTGACGGCGGCTCCTGGCCCCAGCTGGCTCCCCAGGCGCCCGTACGCCCCCTCGGTTTTGGTCCCCCGGCCGTCCCGGGCCTGGGCGCACCCCCGCCCCGCCCCCTCGCCCCGCCCCCGGTTCCCGGCGGGGAGGCGACGGCCAGGGCGGGCGGGGGCGTCCGCGGGGACGGCGGCGACGGAGCGGGCAACCTCAGCCCACCCGCGCGTAACCCAGCGCCCACGGGGCGGCCTTTCCCCTTCTAGCGAGCGGTGCGAGCCGAGCGCCGCCCCGAGGGGACGGACGGAGGAGGAGGAGGAGGAGGAGGAGGAGGAGGAGGAGGAGGAGGAGGAGGAGGAGGGGGAGGAGGAGGGGGAGGAGGAGGAGGAGGAGGAGGAGGAGGAGGAGGAGGAGGAGGAGGAGGAGGAGGAGGAAGGGGACGAGCGCACGGGCCGCCCCCCTAGCCGTCCCTCGATGGCGGTGATTGACACCCCTCCAGGGGCGGGGCGACGCCATGCAAATCACCCACCTGTCGCAGCCAATAGGCGGGCGAGACCGCGCGGCGGGGGCGGGGCGCTCCGCCGGGCCAGCTCTTGCCTGGACGGCGCGGCCGCGGCGGCGGCACCTCGGGGAGCGGCGCGGCGGGAGCGGGACGCGGCGGGACGGGCGGGCGGGCTTCCCCTCTCCCGCCCTGCTCGGGGGTGAGTACCAGCCGGGATGGGGGCAAGACGAGGCGGCGCTTTCCTCGGGGAGCCGGCAGCGCTGGGCTCCTTCACCCCGGGCACGTCGCCGTCGGCTGCCGGGACGGAAGCCCTTGCCGTGTCCCCGAGCCCTGGCTCGGCATCTGTCGGGGTCCCCGGGCGCCGACCCGCCGCGGAGCTGCCGCGGGACAGAGGGCAGCGCCGGGCCGGGCGCCGGGCTCCCGTCCCATCCCCTGCTGTCGGGGGGGAGCCCCGGTGCGAGCCCGGTGCTCGGCGGCCGGCCCAGCCGGGGTTTCGGAGTGCGTTGCACCTCGGTTTTGTGTAAGAGTAAACGAAACTGCCCCGTTTGAGTCTACGGGGGAAGTCTGAAGTGCGGAGGCAGAAGGGACGGCAGGGGCTGGGGATCGGGCTTTTGGGTCCGGAGGTGCTGTAGCTGCCCTCGGGTGGCTCTGGTACCTCCAGAGGGGCTGGGTTTTTTCGCAGGATGAGGGAAAAGCAGAGGTGCTTTCAAATATGAGTCTCCTCACCCAGCCCCAACGGATGTCTGCGTTTCTAGTTGCCTCATTTGTCTGGCTTAATGAGCATTAACATTTCATTCATAGTGCTCATATGTGGTTATGAATATGCTCATATGTGGTTATGAATAGCTCCAGAGCAGATTTGGTAGAAAACTGGGTTTATATGCAAAATATAATAGCTTTACTCCTTTCTTGGGCATCATCACGGCCAGATCTGCTAGTGGATGCAAAAGTTAGTGTTCTTTGATTGCTTCCTATTAATTGATATCAATTTCCTTTCCTGCCAAGAAGAATTAGTACTTGTGTACCTCTGAGATAACTGCATGTAACTGTGTGATACCAGGAAAGGAAATGACTGGAAGAATAATACTGGCCTAAAATGGACATTCACACTTCTTGCTGTTCTTCAGATGGTATTTTGAGAACCATTTTTTAAGCTGTCAGGGATCATAATGGCAATTTATGACTTTTTAAGAAACGAATACAATTTGAAGGGTGCTGCTTTCTTACTGATGTTGTTACTCGCTATTTAAATAGTTTTATATGGAAGTGCTGAGACTACAAGATAAGCGTACCTTTTTTTTTATTCAAAACAGACCAGAGGTCTAACAGATGAACAGACTAAAGGTCATCCTTAAGAAAGGATGATTTAGATGCCCAGCACTTCCGATGACCTTTTTCTCACCTTAGTTTTTTTCACTGACTGCCTTGTACGACCACTGCTCTGAAACTGAAATTGCATGTTAAGTCATATGGCAAATGTATCTGGTGTTTTGGCTGAGGCTAAAACTGCAAGTTAACCTCTGTTGTCATAAGAGATATTCGTAAAGAAACTGAACACAATACATAAGAACTCTTGAGACTGCAGATAAACATGATGCTATGGAACACAACTGTATATTGTATCACAGTCTTGGAGATTCTTGCATGCTGTGGGGTTAGGCTCCATGTCTGTCACCTTCCATTATATTACAACAGCAGCCAAGATCTGCTCCAAAAGGAGAAATGGTAGTTGCCACCGGTGTAGAAATAACAGAGAGATGAGAGAATCTGCTGGGTGAAAAGGGTCACCCAAATTGCTCCCCAGCATGGGCAGTGGGCCTGTGGGCGCCTGTGCTCGCGCCTACACTGTGCTGGGCACACTGTGAGACTGGGAGCGAGGGCACTGAGCAAGTCATGGAAATGCAGGGCCATGGGGAGGCTGTACGATGTTGCCTAATCCATTCGGTGCATCGTAACAGTGCTCCTAAACCAGACTTGAGAGATGTTTCTGTAGCCTCTCTCTGTCCTCTAGGAAAGAGGGTCCCACAGTGCTCCGACAGAGAAATGGTCCAATTTTCAGCTAGTCACAGCTAGTTCAACATAGATCTCGTGTGTAAAACAGATGGATTACTTTGTGTGTTTCCAGTGTCAACACAAGGAACAAACTGATTGTTTCTATTTTTATAAACTCATTTTATACATTGGAGTGCTGTGTCTCTCTCCCTGGTCTTCTGCATGAAATGAATGTAATTCCTTCAACTCCTCTTCCTCCAGGGTTGTATTTTCTAAACTGTTTGGAGACAATGCCCAGTATGCTCCTGTTTTCCTAGCGTGATAACTGGTGCAGGAAGTACCATTCCAACTGAGGCTTTACCTGTGCCAAGCAGAGTAAAACCAGTTCTTCCCATGTCATCTCTCATATAAGACAAGGTTTTTTTTACAATGGCATTATGTTGTGAACTTGTTTTTTAGCAATCTGCTATAACCCCACCAATGCTTTCCCAATACCAAACTAGGTGTTCCTTAGTTTCTATCTGTGCAAATAATCTCTTCTAAATGTACCATACCAGGCTCATCTTGGTTGAATTTCCTTTTATTTTTGCTAGTACTTCTCTTACTTGCCAAGATCATCTTAAAATCCCATCACTGCTGCTCCCCTCTGCCACCAAATGCTCACTTCCACTCCCTTCCAGTTCAGTGTCACCTGGAGACTGTCCAGGCTGATGTTTGGTTCCACTCTCCAAGTTGCTAATGGAAAAGATGGATAACCTCTGAGTGTGACAGGAACACATCATAACGTTGGCATATTCAAAACCAGTTCTGATGGTTAGAAGATGGCTGCTGTGTCAAGTACGAAGGTGCTGAACTGGATAGACTTTCCAGTATCTTCTATCTGGTCCATCCATTTTCTTTGACTCTTTGGTCATCCCTGTAGTACAGGGATGACAAAACACGGTGCAAAAATTACTGAGACAATGTTAATTTGATCCAATAAACTAATCTCAGCACCAAATGCAGGATTTCTACTCTTATGCAGTTTTGCAGAAAAGCTAGTTCTGGTTAGACTTGCATTTTGGGCTGCTTCCCAAGACGTGGCCCCCACGTGAGCCATCTCTGGTGAGGAACGTCATTCCCGGGGAGCAGCAGCATTGCTCCTGCCTAGGGCTGGCTCCTGGGATCCCCCTCCTGGGGACCGGGGGGGCTCTGCATGAGGGGAGCATGCCGTTCAGTTTCTACATCTGTTTTGATAGCTTTCGCTGATAGTGTGGAGCATCTTGATACCTCATATAGCCTATCACACACGGTGTTTGGCACTTCTCATCTAGATCATATTTCTGTAGTTTATCACAGAGAGCATGATGTCACGTATCTTGACTTCAGATGGCTTATCATGCGTGCATCTTTTGCTTTATCTACTATGACAGTTAACCCATTAATTGACAAGATTATTCTTGACAAACTCATGTTCACAAAAGCCAAGAAAGTACTGAACGCTCCAGCTTTTCCTACTATGCCTTTCCTCTGTGCTGTACTTGTGTCAGTGACAAATCACTTGTTTTTGAAAGAGAATAAAGCTTGCTTGAGCTTTGGGTATGCCCAGTCACGAACAGATTCTCTAAGTACAACTGGCCAGTGTGTCCCTAATTACATCTATATCTTGTCTCAACTTCACCGGTACTTTGAATGAGCCTGTAAACACCCACGTGCTGCTAAGAAGTGTAGAGTAATTGCCATAAAGCCTGCCAGCACCTGACATGACCTGGGGCTGAGGCTGTGGATATGCATGTGTGGATGTGCAGGTTATTTTCTGACTGAAACTATTTTGGTCCAATTACAGTTGTGTAGATTTTGCAGTAGGATCCAGAACTGAGCCTCGTGTACTGGCCCATGTGAAAAAATACCAATAAAACACCCTGTGTTTAACCTTAAAGGGATTTTTTAAAATAAAGAATACTTGATTTCTGATTGTAACACTCTATTACAAGCTTTAAATATATGTGTATGTTAAAAAATAATGCTGTTGTGCCAATTTAAAAAATGTCTATAGAGCACGTTGCTTCTGACTGATGATCACATGCAAGCTCATATTTCTACTTGGATGCCAACATAATGTCTAAATCGCTTATAAATACCACCGTGTAGTAGCAATAGTAGTTATATAAATGTGGTATGTACATAGCTATTTCACTGAGCCAATGTGTTTCAGGGAAGCCAAGGTGATTAATTAGATAATGTATATACTCAGGGCACTGTAGTGACAGCACTGCCTGTGAGTGCGTCGTCGTGTGATTTCCTTGCACAGTGACTCATAACGATGCTGAGCTGTAGTAATTGCCAAGAAATGCATGTATGGCTGTCTCACTGTTTATGCTAGTGGTATGGTTCTGGCTTAACTCTTTGCCAAGCCCATGGAGGTGCAGTTCACGCCCCCCACCTTGTCTCCATCCAGGCCATTTTTACTTGAAGACCTTGGTGCTGCCGGTGTCAGGAAGGGCAGGGACGCTGCAGTAGTCAGCCTGCAGTGTGCTGTGAGTACTGAAAAGCCCTGAATGGAGAGCGGCTGTGAGACTGCTCTTCCTCCCCTTGGGTAAAATACAATCCCCTACATGTTCATCTACTCTTCGTAATGGTGCTCTGCTTTTAGGAAGCTGTGCACATCACAACCGATGAGTCAGCTTGCAGGTCTCAAGGATTTAGCAGGTTTTCAATATCTGCAGTTGCCAACTATATATCCTATTTCTAGCATCCTTAAGAGAAGGAAGTGGCTAAATTTGGAATGTGCATTAGCCTCTCCTGTCCTTAACTTCCATCTGTATACATAAACATGACAACTGCTGGAGGGAGTTCCCGAATTTGGGAGGAGGTTCAAGCAGTGCACATGAAGACTTAACACTTTGCAATGGACCATATAGTGAAGATGGAGAAACCTTTTTTGTCTACAGCCCCCCTCTTCCCCGAGCCAAACAAAACCAAATCTAGTTACAATTGCTCATTGGTGTGACTTTTGAGAAAAATGTCAAGAGGAGATACTAAGAATCCATTTTATCATCTGTCCAGGATTGAAAATTTGCCAGTGGTGATCCACAATGTGAAAATTTAGACAATGCAGTAAATAGCAGCAGTCAACCTATATACAACAAGCTGTTCTCTCCAAGGCAAGGATGTTTACTGAGCACGTGTTACTGTGTAATAAGAAGTTAAAACTTCAAATTTTGTTGTCAATCTCATCATAAATATGTGAAAAATGTGATGCATATTGTGTTTGCTTTTAATGCATGGCAGCAGCTTCTCCTAGTTTTGATACTGATGTCTAGAAAACCTGATAACTAGTCTATGGAAAACACTGAGATTGTTAACCTTACTGAATACCTTAGGGAGGTAGGAGATGCACCCTAGATCCTTGAATTTATAACATGCTGTCATACAAAAATTGAGAATTACTTTATGTTGAAGAGATTGAATACTGGTAAAGAAACTGGGATAAGTCAAAGAAGAACCTCCAAAGCTATCAGTATTCAAGCAATTATTGCCTCATTATTTTGAGTTAGAGGCAACAAACTATTTGAATGTTAATTTTTTTCCTCTAGGCCTTTCCTAGCCTTTATAGTAGGAAAGGAACCACTGGAGACTTGGAGATTCTGACAACTTCAGAAATAGCCTGCGAAGAATGGAGCCATCCCTACTTCTCTGAATACATTGGCTTGTAATAAATCAGTTGTTCAGGTACAAACGGAGAAGTTGACATTTCATGCGAGCTTTTGGAAAAAAAAACCTGCCCTGAGACATTTACAACTGCATACACTTCTCACTAGGGTGACGGGAAGTATAAAGGAGGTGTTCTGCTGTACACAGGCTTTGACTACAATTTGAAGTAGGTAGTGTCCAATAGTCTATAGATACATTTGAGGCTTCTTGCTGGTGTTCTGTGTTAACTGATGTATTTCCAATCCTGAACACATTTTGTCCATTTTTAAACATTGCCCAATCCAGGAAACTCCAGAGAAGATAATTTCATTTGAGTGAGGCCGCAAAAAGATTTTGAAATGCTAATCTGTGTCATAGCAGTTAATACTGGAGTTAATATACAGATGTGATCTTAAAACAGCTCCATACGGCAAACGGTCTTATTCATTAGGTTATGATTTTTGGTGTTTCCTCGAGCTCTTATAGATGAGAAGCAAGAAAAAAGAGGAGTGATTTCAGAAATTCAAGCCTGCTGTTCCACTAGTGGTGGACATGATTGGGGAGACAGGGAATTTGGTCTCAGAAGATGACTAGCACTCTGCTATGAGTCAATTAGAAGCTCTTTTGGAAAGAGGAAAAACCTATTGTAAACAATAGTCTATTTTCCAAGTTAATTAATATTGTCAAATCTATTATTGGACAACAAATAGCGGGCAAAATTATTAAATCTGGTCTAAGACAGTTGTTTTCAAAACAGAAAGATACTATAAAATGATTAAGACTCCAACTCTTAAATGTAAGGCTTCAGTTGCATTTAACACTTCTTTTACCCATACATGACTTGCATTTTTGTGCAACAGCAGCATGCTGTTTGCCTTGTAATGGAGTGTGTTCAACTCAGCCAGCCCCCTGAGTGGATTTCCATCAATACTCCATCCTCTGCAAGCAGTGTGGGAAGTTACTGGAATGTGCTGACACACACTTAGCTATGAAGTAATTCTGCCTAGGAGTAGGTTATTTCCTAATTGCCCACCACTTGTTTCTTGGATCACATATGTTGTGTGTCATACAGCCAAGAGCACATGTCATTCAGAGACAGGATAAGCCACGTGGGTTTGTAGTGGAGCACAGAAGGACTTTTACCTTCTGAGGAAGAGAAGAACTCCTGATAGAAATTATTTTTAACTGGCTCTGGCTTGTTTTGAAATACCTGTTGTTCCTCAAAAAGGCCACTTCAACTTAAGTAAAAGCTTCATCTTGTAAGGCTAAAGGCTAAAAAGATTACTGACCAGACTTTTGGTAATCCACAAGCTGGTATTAACTAGAAGCTGCCTTTTATGAATGCTGTAAAAAGAAAAAATGTACACTGGCTTCCATCCCAGCTGCTGGTGATGAAATATGGATGCTGTGCTGAAACTGCTGCTTTATTTCACTGTTTGTTCCCAAACTCAATGATGTGGATGTACAAGTGTTAAAGCTGAAATAAATACAGGTGTGTAACTAAGTTATTTCTACGTAGATAACAGGCTGCAGAACATTAGCACAGCAAGGGAAATATGCTATACAGGACTCCTATTTGTATGTATATGGGGCTAACAGAAAGGGGTTTTTGTGTATGCACAGTTTTGGGTTTTCAGAGTGGATTTCTTTTCCCGTCTGAAATCCCATGTCATGCAGAGTTGTGTGGGGCTGCAGTCTTACTGCAACAGGACAGCTTGCGCCTTTCTCACGCATCATGGGAATGCTAGTCATTGTGATTAATACCAAGAAGTAGCATGCTAACATGAAGAGATGAGTACTGAACATGTCCTCAGCTGACTGTACTTGGTGGGTATCTGGCTTTGAATTTGTAACCTCTGCAGTCATTACCTGGCCTGTATTTCCTCTGTGTGTGAGCGTGTGTTTGGGTGTACACACCATGATGGACTGCAGAAGGAACTTGATTTTCACAAGGACAGATTTATCTAGCCCAAAAATACAAACATGGAAGTACACGTTCCAGTTTGAATATACACAGTATTTCAAAAGAAAATCAAACCGACAGCTAATTAAAACACACACTCTTAGAATTAAGGTATTTATACTTGTGAGGGTTTTATTCCAGAGTACAGAGTAGTTGGTGTCTTGATATTCTAACGTGTTAGATATGTCTTAAATAAACCTGTGCAAGTAGTTGAATATATTTAGCACTCATGTTCAAATTAGCAAACTTTTGACCTAAGGCTGAGGACTGGAATAACTTAGACTGGACCTTTGGAGGTCATCTAATCCCCCTCAAAACACACACAGGTTGCTGAGGGCCATGTCCAGTTGAGTTTTGAATAACTGCAAGGATGGAGATTCCAAAACCAGTCTGGGCACCTCTTGCAGTGTTTCTAAAAGGGCTTTTTTCCCTTATTTTTCCCCTGAACTATCTGGCTAGCTTTTCCCTTGTTTCCACTTGGGCCTGTTGCCTCTTGTGCTGTCGCTGTACATCTCCATGAAGGGTCTACCCTTGCATTACGTAGTTGGTGACAGCACCAAGATCTCCCTTGAGCTTCCTGTTTTCCAGGCTGAACATTCCCAGCTCTCAGCCTCCTGCCATACGTCAAGTGCTCCAGCACCTTGGACCATCTTGGTGGCCTGCCCTGGGCTCACCCCGGTGTGTCCATGTCTCTTGTGCTGGGAAGCCCCAGCACCAACACAGCACTTTAGATGTGGGCTCTCAAGTGTCAGATGGGAGAGGTCAGTTCCCTCGACCACTTTTGGTACTCCCGTCCAGGATGCTGTTGGCCTCCTTTGCCACAAGGGTGCATTGCTGACTCATGTTCAACTTGGTGTCCACCAGCCCACCAAGGTCCTTTTCTGCAGAGCTGCTTTCTAGCCAAGGAGCCCAACTTCTACTGCTCCACCAGGCCCTGTATTAAGGGAGAGATTGCTGCTCATTTTAAAGTCTGAGTGCTGAGGCTATCCCTAATAGCTAGTAATGTACAACGTATTAACCTACTGCTGTTTTCATTACAAATCATGAGTCTCTCAAAGCAGCAGTTTGCAAATGCCCCAAATAAATTTACTGTGTCTCTTCAGTGAAAGGTGCTCAAGAAAGCTGAAACCGAAACATTTTCTTGAACCTCACAGATCTCTTTGGCCAAATATTGCAAATGCTAATCTACAGAGTAATTGAGCATGCTCTGGCATAAAGCTGAATAGGTGTCCTCTGTAATTTGTGGTGTTTGTGGCCTAATATGATCCTGAAATATAGACAGAAAGTAATTAGCTTCCTGTCCTCCATCATGTCCAGGCACTGTATGTAGATAAGGACGAAGATCTTGGAAGTGTGAAGATGAAGTGGGAAACAGGCTAGTGCTTTAGAAACAGAGAGAAAAAAACAGGACTCAGGGAGAATGAAAGAAGATTTCAAAAAGTTCCTGATGTTGCAGGACTGAGGACAGACTTGAAGAGATGGCATCCATTTGTTAGGACAAAAGTGCGATCACTTTAGCTGTGGAGTCATTACTCTGACGGGTACAAGTTCTCAATGCAGAGTTACAAGATCCTAATGTTGACCACCTTGAATGTAAGTTTTGGTATACGGTTTCAAATAATGTAGGCTTTTAGAGCTAAGCACTCGGAAACTGGGAAACCCCAAGTGGAAGATTGTCAGTACAACTGTAACTTGATCCCTCTGTTCACATTTAGAATTGGATTCTTCTGGATCTGCTGGATCACGGAGATTGTGGGTGATGCTGTACATATCATTGGAGACAAGCTTCTCACAAGTGGCCTCAATCCATGTGTTCATTCACTGATGACCAGCTTGTTACATCGCGATCTTACTCAGCTAAGTGCCCGAAGCTTGTAGCAGTGACCGAAGTCAGAAGGAGCTGACTTCTGAACGTAACAGGTACAAAAAACTGTGCTCCAGGTGTCCCAGGTGGGCATCATAACTCATCAAGAGTGATAGTGTTGTCCTTAATCACTCCTGGCTGAAACCTCTGTCTGTAGATGGGGGGGCTGTTAGATCTGCCCTCCCCCAGAAGACTGTTATGAGTTTATGGAACTTTCCAGGGATTTCACAGGAGAAATCTCTGAGGAAATGAACAGTAGTAATGTAGTAAATGATATATCTGTCCATGAACTGAATTATGAATATTAGCTTTTATGTTGTACAACTTTTATTCAGCATATGCAGACTGTAGGCAGAGACTTGGTGGAAGTGATAGGACGTAGGCCAGTATTTAATTGCGTGATTTTCCTGTATGTAGGCAACATCATGGTGCAATCTGAGGCTGCACTTGACAGCTCCTTACTCTTTTTCTAATGCTTGACTTTTAACCTTTCATGTTGTATTAAAAATAAACCCCAATATTTTTACAGAGATGCTGCAGAATTAGTATACACATGAACTTACTACAGCATTAGTATTTTCATGTTGTAAATTACTGTGAATTTGTTTCTCCATTTCTTCCTATTTTGATTTTATCTAACATCTTAAAATGGTTGTGGGTGAGAAAGACAAATTGCAAGTTACACTTCTGAGGGTAGGGGGAAGGAAGAGTAGACCTATTCCTACAAAATGACAAGTTTTTTACACAGGAGCTCTTACTCAGTGTGGTGTTTTGTTTGTGTTTTCTTTGTTAAGCACAAAAAAGAAAATGTAATTATTGTTGAGCTGCTTGTCAGTCCTCTCTGTGGAAGGCTGATGAAATTTAGTTTTTCTCAAGTTCAATGAGTGGCAAGCACAAAGGCAACATAGTCCTGCATACACATACACACAGGATATGTTTTACATTATATAGTTTACATGAATGGCACCTTGCTCCTGTAGATTGTCATTGTAAAGTCATAAAAAACATTGTCTGCTGTTGCCAAATGTAGATGCTAAACACTAAAAGAATAAACTGCTGAAAACAACTAACAGCAGGTCAAGGATCAGACTAGAAGTGGGAGGATCATCAACTCCAGCGAAGCCAGTAAGAGTCAGGAATGCAGTCAGCAATGTGACTGGTTTTCAGAGCCACGTCTACATTTCAGGTGAAGAGCATCTCAGAAACAGTTAGTGATTAGAAGAGATCTAAACAATTCTGAGGTTGCTAGATGCCGTTGTTTGTTCCCTTTCCATCATGCCGTCTAGAAAATGGTCCACTATTTCCACACAGGAAGGGTAGATGTTCTCACCGTCTCAGTGCCTCTGGGCAAACTTGGCCATACAGTTTCAAAGCCAAGTAAACATGGCTTTTAAGCTGCACCACACATTATTTTTTTTTTCCTTTTAGATGGGGATTTTTCATCTCGATGTTGTGGCATGAGGTGAAAGTCTTGATTTTATTATTGTTGAGGGAGGAGGTAGAAAACCTTTAATTTCTTAAAGCTTTCGCTATATGATTGAGTTGAATCTATGTGGCTTATGTTTGAAATTCAAACAATTATCTTACATGTGTGGATTCTGGAATGAAAGCTCTTCTCTAAGGATATTAATGGACTTTCTTGGTTTACGTTGCTTATAAAATAATTAGTTTAAGTTGAAATTCACTTTTTTGCTTCAATGTAATGTGCTTCTAATCAGGACACTTCTCAAGACCCATATATACCCCAAATGAACTGTACAAGCCCAAGAGACTGTGTCTGTGATGGAATCTTTCCCATCTCCTCCCTAACATCTTTAACACATCTAACAGTCCCATAAAATGGATTATAAACTTGGCAGTTTCAATTCACATTAGATCTAGGCCTATTACACTGGGTACATACACATGCAATTTATTAATCTGGGAAAAACTGATGATCCTATGAAGGGATGTGTCATTCACAGTGGATAGCATGTTTGTAAATGCTGTGAAGATACTTTAATTCCTGGAAAAACAAAAATTAATCTTCCAGACACGGAGATCTAGAGATGTCCAGCTTGGTTCTGCTTCTTAACTTGGTTGTCTTTCTTCTTAATTTAAATGAGGCCATGGGATGTGCAGCTGTTATGATGGGAAATTTTCAGCTTCCTGCTTGCTGTAACACTTGGTGCAGTGTTCTTGCTTAAGCTTTCAGGTTTCACTTTCTGCAAAGACTTGAGGTCTAGAGTTTCAAGTAAACAACATACTTAAAGGAGACTTCTGCTTTGTTACCCTGTAACTGGTCCGTACAGATTACTCATTCTGTGGCTTCATAATGAAATTTGTAGTTAAGTATGACTGAGGCAAACACATAGAAAACAGACCCTGATCTGTAACAACAGTGTTACTTTATTCCTGCAGTAGGATGTTTCCATCATACAAAAAAGAAGGGTTGAGTGGATGGTTTTGCTTACAAAATGTGCTGTCGCTGTGTTGTTTATATTGATGCCTGGTACACTGTGGTCAATGACAGCATCTGGAGACCCTAAACTTGCCTTGCCTTTTCTTTTTTTTATTTCTATCTTGATACATTCCACACCATTTCTCAAAACTGTTCTTTCCCTACCGTATTGGTAAATGCTGTTTCTGTCTCTGGGAGGCTTCCTACTCTTCTCCCAGGAAGAACAGGCTTAGAATGACAGTGGACCTGTGGCATTTGGGACAGCTGATGTAATTAAGGGTCAAGATCTAGAGGAGATTTCTCTAGTAAGCAGTGGTGGGAAGTGTTCAGTTATTAACACATCTACACATACTGATAGCTGGCGGCTTCCTATCATTTGCTCAAGAGTTTGTTTTTTTCTCAAAGTGAAAGGCGGGCATTTTGTGGGGGCTTTGGCTTATTATTCTTTTGGATTTGTCTTCAGGAATTTTTGTCTTCTCTCTTGCACTTTTTTAGTTTCTAAGATTTGTGGTTTCTAGAACAGTGTTCTAGCACCAGAGTTCTGCATCTGAGATCCATGAGTATAAAATACTGCGAACAAATTTTAAATCTGATATTTTGGGTTATCTCTGATGTAGTTATAACTGTGATGTAGTTATTACTTATGAATTTTCAACTTTTGTAAACCAGTATTTTATTTACTTTAAGCTTCTTTGCTCCTGTTCTGTTTTACAGGCAGGATGAAAGACCGGCTAAATGAGCTGCGTGAATTTGCCAGGTTACACAACCAACAGTTTTCTGATAGTGAGGATGATGAAAATTCACCCCACGATGTTCTCCTTTATGAGACTGATTATGCCTTGGAAATTCTTCATAAAGACATACAGAACATCCGGACAGAAAATGACCACCTAAAAGAGGATGTCAAGCGGCTCAGAAAGCAAAACAGCCGCTTCCTTACTTCCATGCGCCGCCTTAGTAGCATCAAACGAGATACTAATTGTATTGCCAGAGACATCAAGGCCCGTGGAGAAAGCATCCACAGGAAACTCCAGATAATGAGAGATTTCAGCGAAGATGCAATAACAAAATACGGGGCTATGTCTGTCATTGCCAGGGTAGCGAAGAACCACTACGTTGACCTCATGCACGCCTTTCAGGAAGCTATGTTTGAATACAACGCAACTGAGATGAACCAACGGGAGAACTGCAAGATTCGAATTCAGCGTCAGCTAGAGATCATGGGCAAAGAAGTTTCTGGCAACCAGATTGAGGAGATGATTGAGCAAGGCAAATGGGATGTCTTCTCTGAGAACCTCTTGTCGGATGTCAAGGGGGCTCGCTCAGCCTTGAATGAGATAGAGACACGTCACAAAGAGCTGGTGAAATTAGAAGGTCGCATTAAAGAAGTTCACGAGCTCTTTCTGCAGGTGGCCCTGCTAGTGGAGGAACAGGCGGACACCTTTGACGTCATTGAGATAAATATGCAAAATGTTGAGGACTATGTAGGAGAAGCTAAAGAGCAAGTGAAAAAAGCTTTGGAATACAGAAGAAAACACCCCCTCAGAACAATCCTCTGCTGCTGCTTATCCTGTTGCAGAAGGTGACTATCCCACTGAAGCTATCACAGACCAGCCTGAATGTCTTCAAAATCAGGCATTCTTTCCAGTGACTTTTCTGTAATGACAACCCCTAGAAATTGGGGAGGGGGGGGCACACTATTTTGCAATTGTTTTTGTTCATTGACTTTTTCCTACATGTGTTGACAGCTGTTCTATTTGAGAGCTCCTTGAAATGTTGATAAAATGATTTTTAATCTATTTTTAATTGAAATGCACTCTGTTGCTGTAGGTAGAGGTACAAGAAGATCTCTGCAGTGATGCTTGTTTCAGATAGGCAAGAAAGAGGAATGAATGATGGGCTGATAACTCAGCCTAGGAAAGATGAGAAATTTCAAGAAGTAACTTTATGCTTATTTGTCAGTGAGTCTGCAGGCAGTGCAGCCTTACCACCTGGGGTGACACAATACACCACAGAATCAGGAGGTTTCCATTTTAACTAGTTTGGAGCCTGCTTAATGCAAATCCTTGAACAGATTTTTTGCTCTGTTCATTTGACAAAATACTGAGCCTTTTAGCAGGAGCAGGACACAGAGCTAGTTTCTATTTCAACTTGATTTCCACCTGTCCTGAATCTTAACAGAAGTAACTGTACCTTAAATGATAATATGAACGTTTTGCTCCGTTGGTGTGCAAGTGATTGCTTTTCTCCATTTTGAGTACCCCCAACTGTTGTCAAGGTGGCTAGAAGCACTGCAACACTGAGGCATCTGACTTTTAACTTGAGCCACTGTCTGTACTCTTTCAAAAAACGGCCATGCTTTTATGCTTCTAATACATTTTGCTGCCAATTAACACTTCATCCAGAAGAGATGCATGCAGTGGCCTTCTACAGAAGCACCCATAAGAAGATAACGGGGGGTCGAGAAAGTATTTTAGGGTCTCCTGTGCTGGCACATACACACAAGCAGTTTTAGTGGAAGGATTATCCTGTCAATAGACTTATTTTTTTATAAGCATTGATTGAATATGGGGGGGGGGGTGTTTATATCTATTTTAAATAACATGAAGGATTAAATGGATTAACATGCAGTTTTACTGGTATACAAAAACTATGACTTTTCTCCCATTATTAAGAAATCTCCACCTGGGAAAGAAAATTAGACGTATTTCTTCAGTACACCTGAAGAAGAAAGAAAACAACATTTTAATGGTATTTCAGTGCTCTTGTCAAGCTTAAAAGTAATCTTACCTTTTGCGTAAGGGGAGTCTACCCGCAGTAGGTTTGGAATATGAGGAGGGAATAGAAAATTCACAGCCCTGGAAACCACTGAGTGTTGTCAGTGAAATGTGTATTCATAAGGTCTGGTGAGTGATTATAGCTCCTACTTCTGAAGGTTTTCCAACTATAATGTTTCTAGGTGGCTTCTTGATACACTGTGATCTATTTCTATCCTTTGAATTAATGCAGGACATTTTTTCAGAAGTTAGTGACTTTTTTTTTTAAATGCTGATCCTGTTTGTACCTATTTTAATAAATATATTTAAACATTTCAAATATTTTGTATTTGGGAGTTTTCCTTGGGAGAAGTGCATAGCCATCTTCCTGCACCAATTGCAATGATGCTTTTCCCTTCTGATCTTTTGCACAGTAATTTTATATGTGAAAAACCACCCAAACATTTCTTACTATTTATATTGACATAATGAAACAGCAAAATAAATTCACCTTCCAAGCTTTCATATCCTAGTGGGAAATGCTTCTTAGCCAGACAGGCTTTTTTACATGAACAGAAGCTAAATGGAGAACTCCCCTCAGAAACTGAAAGGCTCTTTTGCTGAAGCACCTGTCTGTGATAACATGGAAGAGTGAGGAACACTGATCTTCTAAACTAGAATATATTTTGATATTCAGTGATATCCTGATGATACCACTATTATGCTTGCCTGAGGACCCCTCCAATAACCCAGTGTTCAACCTTGAAGTGGGAGAAAGGAGGGTGTTGAGCTGGCACCATTACCAGTAGTTTTGATGATATTCAGGAGTCGTTTACTGTGCAGCTACTGCCATTCAAGTCAATGGAACTGTTCATTTGTAGAGAAATATTGTAAACCTCTAAGGGTCAGCACGGGGAAGGGTCATCAGTGAAGAATAAAATATGTATTTAATTTCATCTGCATATTCTTAGCACTCACCAACGCTTTTGATAAAAATGTGTACGGGGTCTTTTTTGTTGTTTTTTTGCACATATGTATGTCTACAAATGGAATAAAAAATTTAATAAGAAAAACTGAAAGTGCAGAGTGTTGTACATTGAATCAGCAGATCTGAATAGTTTCTTTTATTGTCAAAGTTTAGTTCAAAAGCAGCCGGACTAAACGCTGAGTTGGTGAAAGGACATTACCTAAAAAAATGTCCTCCTAGTATTTGTTGCCACAGTAAATCAAATGTGTTGCATACTGAGATAGACTTACCATAATTTTTCCTTTAAAAACCATGAAAAATGAGTTTCATACATTCTAAGATGATTCTCTACTGCAAGAAAAAGTCAGATTTATTCTGGCAGTTCTCAGAGTTCTTGATGATTTCATTAGTAGATATGCAAAGCTTATATTAAAATCTTTAGTCCAATTTGAGGCACGGGGAAAGAGAGCAAAAGCATAAAGAAAAGGTAATTGTAGACCTTTTCTCCTGACTTAAGGCTGTTGCTGCAAGGAAGAAACTGAGAATTATTGAAATACCAGCCTGAGACCTTTAAAGCTATTTTTAAGTTGCATTGTGAATTAGAGGCACTTAAAACATTACTTCCAGTGACTGAAGAAATCATTCTCTTTCTTGCAGATGTGTTAGTTGCTTAATACTGTGGGGGTGTTTCAATCCTTCAGTTGTGTAAGCACTCAAATTTTGCCAGCCCATGAACTTGCCTAGTCACAGTTAAACAGACTTTTGAAAACTCCTGATCACACTGTAGCTGCAAAGACTCACACCACACAGGATGAGTGGAAGAAGATGATAAAATTAGCTCGATGATATGTTACCATACTAATAGCAGAAGCTGCAGAATGGGCATCTATTATGCTCACTAAGGAAAGTTGCCTTTTCATTCTGAAAACATGACTCCTATGGAGATGTGCGTAGCATTTCTATGGGTTGGTTTCTTTTTTTACTCTTCCCTCATGGCAAACCAAACAGCTGGATTTGAGGAGAAAGTAGTTAAAGTGTAAGAGGGGCAGCTTTAGCTTTTAGGGTTGCTGTTTGGTTTTGTTTCCTACTGAATGCAGCAGAAGCGTCATACCCCCCAACCCCCTGAATCTCAGTGCTTTCCGAAGAGAAAGGAGAACTGGCAACCTCGCTCCTTCTAAAAGTGGAAGAGAGCATTGCATAAATATAAAAGAACAAAAACATCCCTTATTACAAAACGTAATGTTTGGTATGTAACGGTGAACTTCCTGGATATGTGTATGAGTCTCCATTTCATCTTAATGGGGTTGTTTTGGTTTTGTTTTTTTGTTTTTTAAACATGGGTTTAATTTTAGAGAAATGGCAGTGGAACGACTGCTACCTCAAAGCGAGGGACCCAGACTATAGACACACTTGCACACTTGAGCAGGCACCTCTCTGTCATGAGCCCTGGGAGAAACTTCTCGAACTAAAGTTATAGCTCTTAGTTTAAGACCCAGATATCTTTTTTTTTTTGTTTTTTTTTTTTTGTTTTTTTTTGTTTTCTGGAGGCTGGACTGAGCAGCTAAACTAAACTGCTGCTTTTCTAATCTAACCTACATTAAGGATGTTTTGAATGCACAGCCCAAGTTGTATTTTATAATTTCTTGAAAACAAAACAGATTCTCTAAATTTTTGAACCATGGGAGATATGTGGAATTGATTTGAAAAGGAAAGAGCTACACGTGGTTGTGTTTCTGTCTCTAGGCAAGTATCACTGATAGGATGAAGGCAGGAAACAATATCATTTAATAGATACTGTGTGCGTTGATTACAGTTGATCTATTTACAACACAATGCGATTTTCACATGGAGTCATGGTATTTGTTTCTCTAATACGTAAGAAGGCAATAGCAGATCTATCTTCCTCCAGGTTTCTAGGACATTATATAGTGTCTTCATAGCAGCTGACCCAAAGCCAGTAACAGCTAGTGGAAGACAGCTCCACTGTCATACCTCACCTTACAGTGCATACATTATTAGGGCATGAAGTCTTAACAGGAAAAAGTATCATTTTACTATGTGTCTACGTGTCTATGTTAGACGCGAAAAGAGAATGAGATAACCTAACTGATGACATTTCTCAATACTTTGCTGACAGGCACAGCCCTACTGAACTGGGAGCAATGCTCGCTATGGTATGATGTCCATGTCAAGCAGATGATACAGCATGGTAAGTTCCAAAGAGCTGTTCTTTCATTCATGGGCTCCAGCTTGTGAATAAAAGTAAGGAGAAAGGCGTGAGTTTCACATCTGTTATTCATGCATATAAAATGTCAACAAATTCACTTTTATTGCACGTGAGAGGTATTTTCCTTCACGAGCACACCTAGCATACTGGGGGTCTCTGAGCACTAACAGCTGAAAAGGTCAGGCACCACCTCCACCTGCAAATTCGAGGCCCAGACCCCTTAGAGAGGGCCACCCACAACCGGGATGCCTAATGACCGAGCAGGGTGCGTGCCCCTTCTCTGCTGATGGGGGAGCGGGCGGCCCCAGCACGCCTCCGCCGTTTTGCTGGAGGCTGCTGCAGTCCAGCCTGGGCCACACCGAACGGTCCTTTCTCATCCCTTGGCGGCAGGCTCAAAGGTGGCCAAGTTTGGGGGGGGGGGTGGAGGACGTCCGTTTTCTCCTCTAGAAAATGGACAGCGAAGGGGGCAAGAGCGGGAGCCGGTGGCGGGGGGAATGGGCACCGACCGCCCAGAGGCGATGGGGCGCCTTGCCATCCTGCTTCCACGCGGGAAAGGAGCCCCCAGTGCAGGCACTAACCGGGAGTGCGGCACTGGGCACTTCCGCAGGCCTCGCCGTACAGTGTGGTTGGCAAGAAATCTGTTTTTTCTCCTCACGAAGCACAATTAATAGCTTTGGACATTGCTGTTTTTCTTCTATGTGCAAGGGAAGACGTATTCCAGGAAACACCTGGGCAGGAGTAAGTCAGCTGCCGGTACGTAACACCGGTTTTCCGAAGAGCACCTGTCAGTTGACAACTCACCGGGCAGCACGGCCGCACCGGGTGGCGAAAGCGGCACAAAGTTCTACTTTTCGGAGCCTCCTGGGTGCAACTCTCCACAGACCTCTCACACCCCGCGCCCCCCGCCGGCACCGCGGCCCTCCCCGCCCCTCCCGCCGCTCTCCCGTGATCGCGGGGCGGCGGGGGCCGGCCTCGCACCTCACCGGGCCCGGCCCCCCCCCCCCCCCACACACACACCCCGCTCCGCCGCCGCCCGCCCCCCCGTCGCGCTCTCCCCTCAGGGGCGGGCCCGTGCCAGCCCTGCGCACCTCCTCCGCCCCCCCTTCCGCTCCGGCCCGCGCGCCCGGCAGAGGCAGGGCGGCGGGGGAGGGACGGGCCGCGGCCCGGGCGGGGGGCGAGGGGCGCGGGCCCCCGGGCGGGGCGAGGCGAGGCGAGGCGAGGCTCGGCTCCCCGCCGGGCGGTGCCCGCCCGCCTCTCGCTGCTGTCGAGAGAGGCCGCTCCGTGCGCGCTGCGCCCTCCCGCACTGGGAATGAAGGCGGGGGGGGGGCGCGGCGGGGGAAAGGGAAGGGGAAGCGGGGGGGGGGGGGGCGTCCGGCGGCGTCCGAGGGGCGCGGGCGGGAGGGCGGGAGCGGGCGCCCGTATGTAGGAGCGGCTGGGAGCGCTCCCGGTAACTGCACCAGGATGGCCGAGTGGTTAAGGCGTTGGACTTAAGATCCAATGGACGTATGTCCGCGTGGGTTCGAACCCCACTCCTGGTAACTACGCTTTTTGGTTTGTGTTTTCTCTTTTTTTTTTTTTTTTTTTTCCTTCCTTCCTTTTATTCCGGATCCCCGTGGCGTTGCCGAGGAGGGCGCGGTGCCCAGGCGGAGGCAGGGTCGCGGGGAGCGGCGCTGGAGCGGGCGGCGGCGGCGGCGGCTGCCCGCCGGCGGGGCCGCTGCGCGGGCCTCCCGGCGGCTGCAGCCGGAGCAGGCCTGTCCGCCCCGCCTGGTCGGCTCTGCTGCGCCGCGGGGCGCTGCTTCAGGCGCCGTGACTTTAGTTTAAAGTTGGTGCCACAACTTAATTCTGAAGAGCTTTTTTCATCTAAGAGCGAGATAGTTTTTTTTTGTTGTTTTGTGTTTTGTTTTTTTGTTTTTTTTGGTTTTTTTTTTTTTTTTTTTTTGTGCGTGTCTTTCGCAGGCCGCTCGGGCCTGGGCCTCGGTGGCCGCCGCGGGTGCCGCAGCCCGGGCAGCGTGTGGGGTCACGGGCGGGGCCGCGGGTGACGGGCGGCCGCGGGGCCTTCCCGGCCCGGCTGCGCGGAGCCGGCGCCCGGGGAGACCCACGGCCGGCAGCGGTGGGTGTCGCGGCTCCCCGCGGCGGGACGGGACGGGACGGGACGCGACGCCACGCCGCCCTTCGTTTTTCGTTTCGGTAGTTTAGGCCAGTCCTCCACGGCGGTGCCTGACGAGGGAGCCGCGCCTGGTCTAGCGGCACCTAAAAATCACACCGCACACGGTCAGTCCTGTGAAGGCGTCGCCGTCCCGTTGGGCCGGAGGCAGCAGGACGGTGGCTCTGGGCGCCTGTGGCACCCTGGGTGGAGGTTAGCCCTCCCGCTTCATCAACCCCAAGTGGTGACTTTGTTCCTCTAAAGCATAATTCAGGTATTTTTTTTTTTTCTGTAGATTATATTTTATTACCCCCTACTCCCCCCCAGTTCCAAGCACTTTGTATACTTCGAAGGCTGTATGACGGCCTGTCACAGTGCTTTCAAAGTGTGGGTGCGTACTGCGTACGCCAGGGTACAAGGTGAGGGTGTGCGGGGTGTCTGTCTGCGGGTGTCGAGCCTGCTGAGGTGGCTGTGACCAGCCCTGGAGGGAAGGCAAACCCCGCTTCTAGGGGAAATGGTCCCTCACGCTGGCTGGGCACTAAACTGTGCCAGGTGTTCAGCTAAAAATTAAGCGGAATGAGTGAGCAGGATTTTCAGAGTGACTTCCTACCTTTGTTTGGCTTAACAAGACAGACCTAGCGGTTGCTGTACTTGTCACAGTGTTTGATTTGCTGTAGCATGGTTCTGTTGTTTGGTTGGTTTTTTTGACAGGGTGGTATCAGTGTGTTCTAGTATATTGAAAGCACAGGAAGTACAAATCAAGTGCAGACTGACTGACACCTTTTAAAATATTAGTGTTTGTCAGAGCATCCTGGTTGAATTCTAGTACTGGTAGACATAGTTGTTCTTAGCCACCCTGTTCCTGATAATTTGAGCTGAAAAATTATTCTAAACTTTCAGTCCAAATATATCATGTGATGGTACAGACTAAATAAAGGGTAAACTCTCAAGAGAGAGATAACTTATGGGCCTTTAATGCAATATGAAATAGAAGGTGAAATATTTCAGACAGGATATTTTATTGCACACTACGTAAGGTCATCTGGCATCACAATTGTGAATATGTTATAAACACATAAATATGAGAGTCAAGAGGATGTTACAGAGGTAAGTGTGGTCTGGTGGTGAATTTCTAGGAAATGCAGGTATGTAGATTGTCTTATCTGACAGTTCCCACAGTTAAATTGTAAATGCAAAACTTACCGTGCTTTCTAGAACTGTTAATTAAAAAGCAGTACTGCTAGGTTCAAATGTTTTATTAAGTAAATGTTCGTTCCTATTCTTCATTAAGGTACAAATTAGTAAAAATGGGTGCATGTTTGAATGTACATTTTACCTCTAATATTGTAATGGAAAAATCCTGCCCTTGGAAACCCACACCTTTGCATACAAAACATGTAATTCTGCTTATGTGTTTATTTACAAGCATGTTTGTACATAAAATAAATGCTCATGTAGATTTTGTGGATGCAGTGTTTATCTTGGTGAAAAGTTGGTCCCAGCTATGTCAGTTACAGGGTGAATTAGTGGCAGCTATTCAGCATTGTGAGAAAGAAAATAAGAAAAGTAAAAATAATCAGTTTTATGAGAACAATAATCACTGACCAAAAAAAACCAACCAGTTTTTACAATAAAGCAATATACAACACTGGAGTTCTGGCTTAGAAATGCTTCTGTTGAAGGCACGGCTCTTTCCTTAAGAGATTCCTTTTGCAGAGAACTTCCCTCAGTCTTTTGGTGAAACTGTGTTCCCTGCTTTTTATAATTACTTGTTAGAGCACATGCAGATCTGGAACGGAACAGAAGATTTTTGAACCTTTCCTGCTCTCAAGAAGTATCCATAAAATCTACTGGCAACAAGTATGTTCCAATCCTTCCTACAGTTCTCCATAAAGAAAAGTATAATCTGCTGGGGTTACTGATTTCTGTTTTAGGTCAAATGGCAGGATGGTGTAATGTATTTCTGCTCTGGAGCTGACCATGACTTTGATTTAAGACTTTTATTTTATCAAACAGGTATTTCTCTTTGTTTTTAATAGCTTCGCTGTTAAACACTCATGAATTATTGGTGCTTGCCTTTGAAATTTGACATTCTTACTAGCACTCATTATACCCTGGCTTTTAGTTCAAACAATATTGCTTTTAATTGGACTCTATTCTGTGGATGAGTTGTTTTTCTAAAAAGGTCATTATCTGTGGGATCCTTGCCTCATTTGTTGAAGAAATTGGAAGAAGTATAGTGACTAGTGCTAGAAACTGGAATAAAAGAAGAGCTTCATATGCAGACAGTTGAATGCTACCCTGATGAACTAGCGGTGTTTCTTTTGCCACTGCGTATTTACTGTCTGATGAGGAACCAGTCAGTTAAAATAGATTTTTCATAAGATGTCACTCATTTTCATGTCCCTTATTTTGCAGTATCCGTCTTAAGAAGCTCACTCTGATTTGCAGACATGCAGAGCTTTCACAAACAGATGAACTCAGTGTATCACCTGTATTTTAAGCAGTCTCTGAAAAACTTCGTATGTCTCTGAGCAGTCAAAGGTGTTGGAGATATTTGATATTTATCTTTCCATACCTCAGTTTCCCATTGTATAAAATAGAGGTAATAGAAATACACTGTCTTAAAAATGGGCTGCTATGAAGTAAATTCATTCTTGTTTGGGAAGTATTCAGATAGACACATGTAATCTGGTCATGTTAGACACACCCATGAGTAGAATATAAATGAATCTGGAAAATAACATGAAATAAATAAGATAAGGAGCCACAGTTTGAGCTGTGAAGACCTTGCAAAGTATTGACCAGCCAGTTAGCCAGCAAACACCACGTGATGTGTGCTGATGTGCTGAACAAGCTGGGGGTCTGAAGGAAAACAGCAAGCCATAGTTTAACTCAAAATTGTGTCTCGCTTCATAAAGAGAAGGCGATCAAATCAATAAGAAGACAACCTATTGGTAAAATATTATTTAGGTGATATTTCAGTATAGTTTAAGCCTGTTTAAAAGCTTTCAGCAGCTTGGGTTTTTTTTTTTGGTTGTTTTTTTTTTTTTTTTTTTTTTCAGTTTCACTCTGTAATGAGCATATCATTTGTTACTTCAGTTAAACCATTTTTCCATCATTCCCAGTGACCAGTATCTCATATAGAGGAAAAGGTGTAAAAAGGCTGTGAAGTTCTTGGTCTGTGTATAATGCTGTATGTAGAATGGTCAATGATCCCTCTCATTCTTACTGCAAACTAATTTAAAGTCTGTAAAGTAAGACCAGTCTATTATATTAATGGGTGTTACTGCATGTAAAGTACTTGGTGATTCTTGAGTTTTTCTCATTTTGGAGCTGGTGTGGTTAAAAAAAAAAAAAAATAGAGGGGTAGACTATTTTCTGGATTCTTGTCATTCTCGGAATGCTTGTTCAAAGATTACCACTGTATGGTGTAGACAGTTGTGTCAATGGCTATACATGTGTTTTTATACAGGTTCACTCTCAACAGCTGCTGGGCTGTTCATCAGCTGACTGTGTCTGATCTTACCTGCTATTTCTTACAACCGTTTCTGTCGGACTTGATAGCCACAGCAACCGACGGTCATTAGCAACATTAGCTCATTTTGCCTCCTTCTCCAGGGCATTACAACACACACTCCCAAACAGAACCTTGCAACATTTTATTGCTTAACTGTTTTTTTTGGTTTTGATGAGGAAAAATAAGAGATTTTCTGCTAGGTTAGTTAGTTCAATCCAAGCAGCAAGCTCTGGGGAATCACTCTGTGGTAGTACAGGGAGCTCAGCCGCCCTGACCGCTGCGTTGATAGAGCAGAGCAAGGGTCTGCATATCACTTACTGCAGTGCAAAGCCCCGCAATTCACTTAAAATGCTGATGGAGGTAGGTTCACTCTTACGACCGACAGATGAGCCCTGCGAGTCTTGCCATGCTCACGTAAAGCATCATGGTCCCCAGCATTACCCTGAGCGCTGCTCTGCCAGAGTTAGGATGGCCTCACAGAGCCATCAGAAGAGACCAGGTGCCCTGCTGCTCCAGTTAGTCTCTGGCGTTTTAGCTCAAAGCCACCTTGACTGGTGGAGTGAAGGGCAGTAGCTTTGCACTGGAGTAAAGGGCTGTGGGCACGCGTTCCCTTTTGCCAGCTCTCGTCAGGAGGAATATATGTAGGTGGTAACACTTTACATCAGCACAGCATTATTACCGAAGGCTATTTCTGAATGTGTTAAAAGACTGGTCTGTGCACTAGATCACCTCCAGTTTGGGAACATATTCCCTTGTGCTGGCTCTGCTATGGTGGCAGTAGCCTCTGGAAGAGGGACAGAGCAGACAAGTCATAATTTACACTACAGCAATAAGGTTCACCAGAGCACCTCCTAAATGAGGGGCCCTGAGTTCCCTAAGATGAAAGCAGCATAATGCAGAATGTTGCAGCTAAGATCTTTGGGATATTGGGGCATGGGTTTAAAGCACACCAGCATGCATTTTTCTGGGATTTTTTTGGTTGTGTTAACTTCTCTGAATTAATTGATTCTTTCTTCCTGCCAGGGAGGAGTTTTTGTCTGAAGACCATAGAAAATCTGCACACTCATCTGGAGATGATCTTCTTAAATGTGCAATTACAAAAATGCCTTCCTTTCGCTAATGATTTTAAGAGAAGAATGCGCTTTACAGATTCCTTCATTTTCCTTGTTTGCTGCTTTTCCTTCACCATCTGCCCAGCTGTGACCTTTCTGGGCTGGAAGTGCTACAGGATCTTTCCTTCAGACCTCATCTGCCTCATTTTTAAGTGTTTGCTGTCATGATTCGTGCAATTCTTGGCAAGAGATCACTCCCTGACCATGTGATTTGGTGGATTTTTGACACCTGTCTCTTGCTATTTCATCATGTGTTGCAAACTTCTTCATATGAGAGTGGAATCACTGGTGGGAAGTATGGACTGCATTAATGAGTTCTGTTTTGCAGCTAATCCATGTCTAATGATTGATGTGCATATGTATTTTAGTTTCACTTGTCCTGTCTTCTATCTCTGTTGCTATTTTCTGTCACACTCCTACCTTTTGCTTTTTATGTGCGTACCAAGAAACAGATCCAGCTGGTCTAGCAGTTAGCTGCTGCTGAAGGAGGTAGAGACATTGTCTTTCCCCTGCCCTGTCTGTACCGTACATTCCCACTGCTTCCCTCTTGTGTCCCTCAGTCTTTGGTTGTCAAGTAATATGCCACAAACCAACCAGTGTTGTTGTAATCATGTTACTTGGATCTAAAATTAATCTCTGACATAATCTCATTATAAAATTTTTTCTGTGAAGAAATGGAGAATTGTGGAGACAATTTCTTATGTGTTTTGGGCTTCCTAACATAGACAGTACAGATCCACTAATTGGTTTCATTCATTACAGAATGGCAGAGGCTGGAAGGCTCCTCTGGAGATCCACCTCCCAGTTCGGAAGAGAGTCAGCTGGAGCAGTCAAGTTTTGAATGTCTCCCAAGGATGGAGACTCCACAACCTCTCTGGGCAACCCGTGCCCGTATTTGACCATCCTGACAGTAAATAAAGTTTTTCCTAACATCTTAAAAATAAGTGTTTTATTGTGTTTAAGGCATTTTCTTATATTTAAGCTTATCTCAAACTTACAGATCTGTCTGCTTGTAAATCAATCTTAAGTGATTATATGTTTTCTCTGTGCCTAGATTTTTGTTTGTAAACATCCCAAGATACAATGAAGGAACTACAGATGCCACAGTACATCCGAGGACACCCACTGGATACATGGGTTTGCTGCCATGTGCATTTTACCGAGAGCTCTAATGAGAGAATAACAAAACCCTTGCGAAGATCTAAGCAAGTGCTTCATTTTAGATACTGAAAGTGATTCTTCAAACTTTTTTTTTGTCCAGATAAAAACCAGCGGAGTGCAATATTTTGTTTATAAATATGTACAGTTAGTTTCCTGTAAGAAATGAACACCTGTGTCTAGCCTTAGCTTATTGAAAGCCAGAGTCCTGTTGAAGCATTACTCATTGGAGGACCATTCCAGTATCATGATGAAAGTTCACGATCTGCAGGTTAGACTGATGTAATTTGATTTGAGTTTTCCTTTAAAATAGTCTGGGGGTTACAGCGTTAACAAATGACATCTGTCCATTGAGTTGAGGGAAGGTAATGCAACTGAAAGTGCTCACCTTCGTCCTGTGCTGTTGTCTTCAACCTGATAACTATAGGTAAAAATTCTTATTCCTGGGTTTAAGTAAGTGTTAGTAGTTTCCTTCCTGAGCAATCTTTGCTTACTGGCTGTGGCTAATTATTTCCTCATCCTAGATTCCGAGGCTGCCTCTGAATGAGAAATTGAAGCATTAACTTAGTTCAGAAACCCCATTTATGTAATACTTTCCAAATCCTTTTGTTACTATATTCAGGACAGAAATAATTGATTTATTTAATTACTATGACTTCTATCTTTTATCATAATATTTTGGATTTTTTTTGATTGTTTTGCAGGATGCTTTGCTTTGTTGTGAGAATAGCTGATTTCTTGGCTAAATGTAGGTTTAATTTTTATGTAGCTAGCTTAATAGCCGTGGTTTCTACAATCTGTATTTTGATAGCGCTATGATAGTGCAGGTTATATCTCTGCCAGTTAAAAAATCCTATAGTGTTTTGTGACTGAAAACAGACGGAGACATGCCCAACCTGTTGTACTGCGTTCATTCAGGTGACGTGCCCCAAGAGTTACTTGACACATCAGTAAAGAATAAATACTGAAAGCGACTGGGTTCAGTTTTTGTGATGTCTCTGCCTGCCCAGCCCCTCTGAACAAAATATTTTTCTACAAAAAAGAATTGTCAGGTAGGGTATAAAGTTTGTATGGTATGAATGGATGAGTCAGATTTTTTGAGAAGGCAGTTAATGCCTCCCAATAGACAGTACAGAGAGACATCATGGATGAGGTAAGGTTCCTGATCTATGAAATCGTTAGGGAGAGAGCTCTGCCATCAACACAAGGACCTGTATGACAGAAGGTAGGGTGACTTATCCAGCTTGAAATATTAACAAAGATGAGAGTGCTCTGAAATAGGAAATGAGAATGGAATGGGGTTGGGCATCTTAGAACTGTAATTAAAATGCTCTAAAAACAAAAGTTGTTGTGGTTAGAGATTCTTTCCCCATGCTTGTTTCTGTTGCTTTTCTTGGTAAGTTGTCTCAAGGAGGGGTTTAAGTAAAGCTTCCGGGTGCCCGTGTTTTAGGTTGGGCTCTGCAAAGAATGTGTCAGGAGATGTTACGGTGCACGGTGGTACTCACAGCCCCCAAAAGGTGCCAGAGTTGGAGACAGTGCCTCATACTCACCTGGAAGTCCTTAACAGACTTGTCTCCATAGCCAGGAATGGGCCTAAATTGTAATGTTAACTGTCTCAGAATGTTGAGTTTTTTAACAAAAAATATTATACGGGGGTAATCTTAACTGTCAACTTGGGATGTGTGTACTTTGCATTGTACATTGTTTTGGTTTATGTACCATTTGTCATTAACAGTCTTGGCGTGACTGTTTCCCAGGTAGTAAATATATTCTGGCATAATTAAAGCAGTTCCACTTCATTTGCAGGCAAAACCTCAGAGATGGTATCTCTGGAGGGAGACCTTAGAACTGACCGAGAATTTGCCAACTACTATTTACCTGTTAACCAGAACGCCGGGTGCCACCTTCCTGAATCACCGTCCCTGACCACTGCTGTATTAACATTTACAGTGACTGGCGCTGGTCCATAGGTCATTACTTTGGCAATTGTAAAAATTGAGTTATAAAAAATGACTGTATTTTTTAATCTTTTTTTTTTTTTTAGCTCATTATATATGTTCAGCTACAAAAAAAGGAGTTGGAGAAAGCAATTTGAAGGCTTGTATTTCATCTATGTGAAAATCCATGTAAAACAATATAACTTAGTTAATTTTTAACAAGGTAGCTGACTTCCCTTAGCAAGGAGTCCATATGGGATGCACTTGTGAGGATATGCCCAGTTAGCTCTGCTGCTGCAGCCAATGTTTATGAACATAAACTCCTGCATCCTGATCCTGTTGCTGCTACTGTGTAAGCAGATTGTTTATCACTGAAGTTTTGGACAGGCACAGAAGCCTGGTTGTGTAATTAAAGTTGTAGCATCTGTACAATAGTTATACATTTAAAATTACTGTGCCTCAGTGTCACCTCCCTCTATTGATCTTCAAACCAGCACAAAATGAAATTGAAAATACAAGCAGTTTAGGCAAAAATTCCGTTTTGGCTCGTAAAGAATACAGGATACTGGGGAGTTTGTAGTGCAAAGGCAGGACTGCAGTATTTTTTCCTATCACATAGGAATGTTATAAGCTGCACATTAATACGATGTGATGGGAAGGGACGTAAATCTCTATGGATAAAATGAAATTATGCATGAGCAGTTAGCTTCTGCAGAAGAAGAGGCATAGGTTGTAAACTCTGGGAAGCCCTTTTCCCATGCCACCGAATCATTTAAATTGCAGAGTATTCTCTGGGGAACGTTAGAACTGCAAAAACCAGCCTGGCCATAACTTTTTGTAAGGGTTAAATTAAACACGACCATTGACTGCTTGGAAAATAAAGGCCCAGTTTGCATTAACAAGGTTGAACTGCATGATTTCTTTTGGAAAAACACTTGGATCTTTTTCTACATTTTACAAAATATGTATACTGTTTCAGGTGACTGTTGCATTCTATATTTGAGCTTTTATTTGAAAAAAGAACTGGGGATAACAAGTTCTAGTACAGATATTTGAGGAATACCTTGTTTATTTTCAGGACAAATATTATTAAATGGATTTGAAAGAGAACCATTCAAAGTTGATTTTTACCGGTAAAAGAAAAACTTTCTAAAAGGAGTGCTTCTCATCAAGCATAATCATACTGACAAAACAGATGCTGTTCGGTGAGATCACTGACCTTAAATCTAGCCATAACAGAAACTTGGATTCCTCAGTTACTCAGATGGACTGCTGATTTAATTTGATGACTTGCTTTATTTATGATAAACTCCTCTAGGAGTGAAATAGTATTCCACGTTGGCTCCGTCTCGTGTGTTTTGCGAAGTGGCAGTGCCCGTTTTGTAAGTGGTTATTGCAAATCAAAACGAACCTGGAAAAGAGACTGGTCTGTACCCGGCCTCCCAGTCAGGGCTGGCTACCCCAGCACTGGGTTGCTGTGGGGGGAGGACTTTTGGGTGGTGGCTCTGCGGGGACAGCAGAACAGCGCTGCTGCCAGAGCCTGTTGTGGAGCAGCCGGGACCCCTTCCTGGGGCCGCAGGGCCCCCACCGGGCTGGGGGGGCTGGGGGGTACCTGTGCAAGCCACTGATCCTGGACTGGGTCCTTCCAAGTGGCATTGCAGCGCTTTCCACCTCCTCTAATTGCACCGTGCTGTGTACACTTTGGAATTGCAGCAGAGTTTAGTTCACTGGGCATGGGAGGTGGGGAAGGAAAAAAAAAAAAAAGCAGTGGCTGGGGAAAAACAGGTTGGTTGTGGCAGGGAAGTGTGATGCTGCACTGTGGGTAGGAGCCCTGAAATACCACCTCTGCTTTGAAAGCCTCATGGAAGTCCCCTGCTGCAGCAGAGCCCAGCCTGCCGGGGAGGCAGCGGGAGGGTGGGCAGGTGATGCTCAGCCCCTGGCAAGGGCAGGGCCCCCCACTGCCCCCCCTGCGGGTAAATGGAGATAGGTGTGGGCTGGCCAAGGGTGGGAGAGGTCAGGCTCTGAGTGGACAAACCAACCCATGTCCTGCACCACTTCTGAGAGAGGAACTTTCTCTTCCCCATTGTTTTCTTTGCCTTTCAAAGGACTGACGTATCCTTTCTGATACCTTGTACCAAATGCCAGATTTAGTCTGTAGGTGCAGAGACAACTTCTGAAAGGCACGAAGTGGCTTACAGTCAGCAATGCTACCTTCTCCACAGGTACAACCAAGTCCTGTGTAAGAAGAGGGGCAGAGCTGAACGGGGTCGGACAGGCTGGGTGATGTGACTGCATGCTTTAGGAGTTACATCTCTGTATGGTTCCATGACTGGACCATGCCCCTGTTTCTCTGTTAGGTGGCAGAAGTGTATTTCTACCAGGGATTTGTATCAGGAAGCTCCATGGTTTAGCTACCACGTCTGGGGAGAGCTTTCCAGGCAGGCTAGTGGGAGAAGTATGATTAAAACTGCAGTGTTCCTCATTTTTTGTATCACCCTGCTCTTACCCAAGTCAGTGGAAGAATTCACCCATTTAAATGGTGCTTTCATTGGCATAACCTGCATTCGTTTTTGTCATGTTGGTCTGCCCTTTCTTTTTTGCCCAGAGGCCGCCTGTTTGCTGGCTGATGGATGTTCTCAGGCAGAGGAAGCAGATTGCACGGGAGTTTAAAGGAGCTCCTGACAGTCGGGTAGTTTCATGGCCCCAGAAAGCTGGGGGGGAGGGCAGGCACGGTCTGGTCATGAGCAAAAAGCACTTTCAAGCTTCCAGCCTTACTGAACGGTTTATGTTTTTCAGTTACTTCACGGGAGAAAGGAGCAGAGTGTGGGAGGGTGATACTGGCAACATCGCCTATGATTTAGGGTTGCATGGCCACACGTCAGGGGGTCTGAAGTCTGCCTGGGTATGAAGGCTGTTGGCACAAAGTCTGGGAATTGTGCAGAGCTTCAGGCATGTCCCGCCTTACGCGGAGCCAGAGAGCAGCCCGAGGGCTACAACAAACCAGTCAGACTCCACTAAAAGTGGAACTATTTATGGGAGATTGTCTATTTCCTCTTGTGACTCGTGGATGTTGTCTCTTTTTCACTCAGGCTCGGAGCCCTGTCAGCTTGCACCTAAATATAGCTTTCCCAGGTTTTTCAAAACTGCTGTTTTCCAAGAGGCATGTAGCCCTCCTCTTTTATCATGCTGAAAATCATCTCACTCACTGCGTGTCGGTAGCTTCTGGTAGATGACCAGCAGCATAAAGATTGCCGACTACCAGACCGCTCCTCTCTGCCTTCAGATCGAGGGCATTGTGGCTGTTTTGACAACGCCCTGTGCCTCCGGTTTGTTCCACCACAGCCCTTGGCCATGATCCTGAAATACCTTGCCGAGTAGCGAGCGATGCAGGAGGTTTGCCTGCCCTGCGGCCTGAGGCAGGTGGCACCGGGAGTCACAGGAGCGAGTGCCTGCAGAAAGGGTGGTGTCGCCTACGTGTTTCCAGTTCTCATATGCCTAACTGTCACGGACAATGCTGGGGCGCATGTGCCCAAGCTGTCAAGGTCAAGTGCTGGTTTTGCATATACTCTCCAACTTAGACAAATAGTGCGCTTGCAGGGAAATAATACCCACTTTCTTGAGAAATAATATCCATAAGTGACGTTTTAAATACAGATGTATAGCGCTTTGTTTAGCTTCATAATTGGTAACTGATACAGGTACTATAAAAAAACTTTCTTGCATGTCTTTTTTAATAGGAATTTAATTTGCCATCTTGAAACAACTTGATTCTGTATGATTCCGCTCTCAAACCAAGGCTCATACTTGCATAATTTTTTGAATCATTCAGAACTGCAGTACGCTTACACATTTGTTACTGCAAGTATGCCATGGCTAATGACTAATGGCTAATTTAGCTGTTGTCTCTTAAGTTCTGTTGTTGTCACTTCAGGCTAGAGAGATCAAAGGTGTGGTATTTTAAGGGATTTGTCACTTCTAGATAAAAACATTTTGCATTCCATGCATGTCCAATCTCTAAAGATAAGTATGGAGGAATACGGTAAAGCCCTGATATCTCAGTGGAAAAGATAGTCGGAATGTAATTTGTATAATTACCTTGCATAGTAGTTGTTTGCATTCCTCAGCATACCTTTATTTCTGTTTTCTACTGGTTATAAAGCCTTTTGCGCTTATTTTTTGTACTGATTATATGAACATTGGATGCCTGCTGCTGTGAAGATTTTGTCATTGAAACAATTGCTTCCTGAGCATTTCAGCTCTTCAGGCAGGGTTCTTTCAATGCTTATAGCTTTTGGGGCTTTAATCTGAAGTTATTTTAACATACGGTGATGCTACTTGATAGTTTCCTCTGGGAATCCCACCCACTGTGTTAGCTGCAGACAGCTATATGAAGAATGCTGTTGTCATGGCTCAAAAACTTGTAATGCTGTCCCACCCAAACTAACCTCAGCGTGAGAGTGACTTCTATTCTGTGAACAAGATAAGTAATGGAACTATATGTTACTGTCCCTCTGATTTAAAGGTATTTCTTCCAACCAAGTTAGTATTTAACTTTATTTTGCTCTTAACAAAAATACAGTCATATACTTATAAAAAAGACAGGTGTTCAGCCTGTTGTACAAAAGAAACACATCGCTGATTTGCTCTGAATGGGTGGTATAGAATTCTGTTAGTGCAATCAAGTAAAATATGGAGTGTGAAGGGATACATTTTCCTAAGTGAAGGAGAAAATTGGCTTACATTAGGTGAAACATTAATGACAATTTCACTAAAATAAAATCTTCTTAGTGCTGCAGTATTTTCTAGCTGCTCTGTAATTTTAAACTAGAAACCATCCTAGCGATTCACCCTAGCATGATAGTAGGACTGCTTTTAAAAAGTATCAATTTCATCCCGCATGTGCATGGATCGCAAAATTCTGGATGTGTCCCAAGTTATCCCATTGTGATAATGCAGGATATTTTTATTTGATGAGAACCTTTGGATAATTTCTTCCATAATGCTTTTTGCCCTCATTTCCATACTGCAGCTGCTAGCTTTTTGTACCAGATGCCATTCTGTCACGAAAGCAACCACTTCATGATTTTTTGTGTGCCTGAAAACTTATCTACCTCTCCTAAGTGTATCAGTTGGTCCCATGAAATCTATTTCATGTTTCTTCAAATCTTGCTTCTTTTCTATCATCAGGCCATCCCACCGACATTACTATTACGAATACCTTCATATGCTCCGTGCCCCAAATACTCCATTATTGGTTTTGCTCAAATAGAGGGCTGTCCTTATGTGTGCCAAATGTAGTTAAAGGAGGTGTGTGTCATGGATTCAGTGCTATCTTGTTCATTTGATATCTCCACCTCTTGGGGAGTCTGACTGCATTTATATTTCTGTGGAAAATCTGTAAAAGCAGGGTCAGATACTACTGCAGGTAGCAGGCCCCATTGTCTACACATACATAAGCAGAGAGAGCGAGAGAGAAGACCTGTTACGGTTCCAGGAAATAATAGGTGCCTGCCTTCTCTGTAGAATTAGAGAGAAACCAGTGCATGATAGGTCAGAAAAATATGAGCTTGTTACCAGCTGATAATATTGCTGTTTCTCTCCCGTCACATACAGCAGCAGCCAGCTGGATGGAGGCAGTGGCCCTTCCCCTGTTTGCAGGGGAGCTTTGCTCTGTCCCGGGCAATCCAGGTGCTTGACTGCTCTAGGCTGGTATCCGAAACTTCGGGTGGGATTCCTCTGCCTAAATGTAGCCCTGTGATGCCACCTGAAATGAGTCAGATGCATATAGATACCTCATCAGCCCCATATGTCACCTCTTCTTAGGTGGCTAACTAGGACTGGATACCAATGTGCATGTTACTAAATCCTTTTCCTGTGTCTGAAAAGAATATGCGAAGAC